TCCAAGGTTTGACTGAGTTTGTTAATCCCTGGTTTGACTGAGTTCGTTAATACAAGGTTTGACTGAGTTATTTAATCCCAGGTTTGACTGAGTTCGTTAATCTGAGGTTTGAGTTCTTTAATCTGAGGTGTGACTGAGTTTGTTAATCTGAGGTTTGACGGAGTTATTTAATTTGAGGTTTGAGTTTGCTAATCCAAGGTTTGACTGAGTTTGTTAATCCCTGGTTTGACTGAGTTCGTTAATACAAGGTTTGACTGAGTTTGTCAATCTGAGGTTTGACTCGGTTCTTTAATCCGAGGTTTGAGTTCTTTAATCTGAGGTTTGACTGAGTTTGTTAATCCGAGGTTTGATGGAGTTATTTAATTTGAGGTTAGAGTTTGTTAATCCAAGGTTTGACTGAGTTTGTTAATCCCTGGTTTGACTGAGTTTGTTAATCCAAGGTTTGACTGAGTTTGTTAATCCCTGGTTTGACTGAGTTTGTTAATACAAGGTTTGACTGTTTGTTAATCCGAGATTTGACGGAGTTATTTAATTTGAGGTTTGAGTTTGTTAATCCCTGGTTTGACTGAGTTTGTTAATCCAAGGTTTGACTGAGTTTGTTAATCCCTGGTTTGACTGAGTTTGTTAATACAAGGTTTGACTGTTTGTTAATCCGAGATTTGACGGAGTTATTTAATTTGAGGTTTGAGTTTGTTAATCCAAGGTTTGACTGAGTTTGTTAATCCCTGGTTTGACTGAGTTTGTTAATCCAAGGTTTGATTGAGTTTGTTAATCCCAGGTTTGACTGAGTTTGTTAATACAAGGTTTGACTGAGTTTGTTAATACAAGGTTTGACTGAGTTTGTTAATCCGAGGTTTGATTTCTTTAATCTGAGGTGTGACTGAGTTTGTTAATCCGAGGTTTGACTGAGTTTGTTAATCCGAGGTTTGACTGAGTTTGTTAATCTGAGGTTTGACTGAGTTTGTTAATCTGAGGTTTGACTGAATTCTTTAGTCCTTGGTATCACTGAGCTGGGTTCTTCAGGTCCAGTTTGTGGACCACTCTGAAGGCCTCCAGGAACTCGGTGAAGTCGATGCTGCCATCTTTGTTGAAGTCGATGCTGCGAGCCAGGTCATCGATGGCGCCGTCGTCCACGTCCACGCCCAGGTGAGCGCTGAAGAGGCGCCAGGTGTGGCGGAACTCCTCGATGGAGATCAGACCTTCAGCACAACACAGAGTCAGTCCCTCCTTTATTCAGAGATTACAGATTATTGGAGCATTTCAAAGTGTGAGTTTTTATATTTTTACTCGCCTGAATGATCTTTGTCAATAATGTTGAAGATGATCTCGATGTCCGTTCGGTATCTGAACAGAGTTTCGGCCAAATTTGGGGCGACCTAAAGAGAGAGAGGAACTTTATCATGACCCAGTTTGTTTCTGTGCAGCAGTTTAGGGAAAATATTTTAAAATGTTTATTTAGAGAAACGAGATTATCTTATTCAGAGCTCACACTGTTTTCTACTTCTGTAGACTTTCTGTTTTAGCTGTTATATCTAAATGTTCGGCTGTGACTTCTGTTGTTTGTTACTTTTTTACTATTTAAAAATATCTGACTTCATTTACAACTAACATTTTTCTCTTGAAATACATAAAGATMTTTTTAATTCCTTCAGTGTTCGCTTTAAAATCTGCTTTAGCTACTGGCTCTGTGTTTGTCTTATGTTACTTTTAGCTTCTAGTTAGCTTCAGATTATTTTCACTTCTATGTAGCCTTTTTATATTTTAACTAGGACTTTGCTATTTTAAGTTTTAGCTATCTTTTTTCTACTTTAGCTCCTAGCTAGTATTTTGATACACTGAGATACTGATTTCCTACTTTTAGCTTTCAGCTATCCCTTTGCTACTTTAGCTTTCAGCAATCCCTTTGCTACTTTAGCTTTCAGCAATCCCTTAGCTAGTTTAGCTGTTAGCTAGTATTTTGATACGTTTAGCTAGAATTTTGCTATTTTAAGTTTCAAGTTGTTGTTTTGCTAAATTTACTTTTAAAGTGGCTTATGCTACTTTAGCATCAAGCTGGTATACTACAACAGCTAGCTAGTATACAATACATTTAGCTAGTCCTTTGCAGAGGTTTATAGTAACTACTGGTAAGTAGCCTACATTTACTTTGTTACAGTACTTTATTTTGACGGTTTGTAATTTTACCAAGCATATTTTTAAATTAGTTACTTTTACTTTTATTTCATTACATTTAAAACCTAAAAAAATATACTTTTACTTCTATAAAATTTAACCAACTATTATTATTTAATTAACTATTATTAGCTTTTAGCTAGCATTTGGCTACACTTGGGTTTTAGCTGTTGTTTACAGCAGTCAGGCTGTTTCCTTCTGACCTGAGGCAAAGGAAGTCCTGGTCCCATGTCCTCGAAGCAGGACCGATACTCCACGCTGCCATCGGCTGCCAGGCGGGCCAGGTGTGGGCGAAGAGTCCTCCAGGGCAGGTCCAGCCTCAGAACGGACTCTAAAACCTGAGCCCATTCACTGACCGACACACTTCCTGTGACACAGAGGAAGTTTTTAATGTGACCCAGACACACATACCGGTACACTTGTGTGTAAGTAAGAGAACTGGGACCAGTACCGGTCTGGTTCTGGTCTTTCTGCTTGAATCCAGCTATGAGCTCAGAACGATGAGCGAACAGTTTCTCCTTCAAGGCCCGGAGAGCCGACCCTTCAGCCGCTCTGACCCTGCAGGAGCAAAGATAAACACTTCTGTCCCATAAACCCTGAACCTGAAGTCCAGGATGGGTCAGGGTCTGTCAGAGTACCTCTGGGTCAGGGTCAGTCTGCGGGTTGTGCGGCTGACTTGGTACTGGTAGAACCGAGGAACCAGTTCTCGTCCCAGTTTGATGTAGGCCCCCCGGTTGCTGCCGTCCTCGTAGTAGTTTGAAGCGGAGAAGATGGTGATGACCTGAAACACAGATCAGGCTTTTACCTGGTCTTGGATCTTTGGAGGGTCTTTGGTGAGGGTTCACGGTACAGTACTGGGTTCATGGTACCGTACTGGGTTCATGGTACCGTACCCGCCCGTCGTGGCACAGCTCGTATCCTTCCTGCTTGCACTCGTGGGAGCGGATCAGCAGCTGCAGACCGTGCTGCAGCAGCAGCCTCTGAGTCACATCAGGACCGAAGTAACAGCCTCCGCCTCTGAAGGTGTTGGGACTGCATCCGTCCTGAGGTTTAGGGTCGCTCCACAGAATGTCCACGATCTGCCAAGAACCAGAGTTAGACCAGAGCTAAACTCAAACCAGAGCTAAACTAAACCAGAGTTAAACCAGAGATAAACTTAAACCAGAGTTAAACCAGAGCTAAAACCAAACCAGAGCTAAATTAAACCAGAGCTAAACTTAAACCTGAATTAAACTTGAGTTAGATCAGAGTTAAACCAGAGCTAAAACCAAACCAGAGCTAAATTAAACCAGAGCTAAACTTAAACCTGAATTAAACTTGAGTTAGATCAGAGTTAAACCAGAGCTAAACCCAAACCAGAGCTAAATTAAACCAGAGCTAAACTTAAACCTGAATTAAACCTGAGTTAGATCAGAGTTAAACCAGAGCTAAATGCTTGACACCAGGTGGACCTGGATGGTTTTTCTTTCACCTGTTTCCACTCTTGCTCGTGTTGAGGAGGACTTGGAAGAGGGACCGAGGACAGAGAGTCCAGGAACGGGACCTGGAGGGCGTTATAAGACGTGCTGGGAGAAAATGGAAAGGAGCGAGGCGAGATGCAGGAAGGAGTTCTTGGAGAGCACAGTGAAGATGAGGAGGAGGAGGAGGAGGAGGAGGAGGAGGAGGTGTTGCTGTCTTGTCGGCTGAGTCCACATCTCCTCTTTCTGTGGAAGAAAACAAAGATTCTGATCAACTTCGGCTCTGAAGGTGTGGCGGAGCTGTCTGACCTCTGGTTGGGGGTTCTTCGGCTGCTGCTGGGATGAGAACCGTCTGTTGATCGGATTCTTTTAGCTGCTCTGTGAGACTGGCCGATATCCAGCTGCTCCAAACTGCATCTGGGAAACTTCAAGGCAGATTTCACCTTGAACAGAGACAAACAGGTGAAGTTCAGGACTGAACAGATCCTAAAAGTTTCACCTCCACTCCTCTGCTCACCTTGTTCCTCTCTATAGAACTCAGGAAGTCCAGGTCCGTCTGGTCTGAGATCCCCCCGTGAACAATCAGAACTTTTCCGTCGATGATGGTGGCGATGGGCAGGAGACTGAAAACCTCCTGGAACAGCTGGAGGATCTCCCGTCCGTGACTCTGCAGACAGAATGGGTCACGTGAGTCCACCTGGACTCTAGAGACAACAGGTTCTGCAGAGACCATGCTGTACTGTACCCGGTACTTCTGCATGACTTCCTTTGTAAAGCCGTATCTGCAAAACAAGGAAAACACTGGAAACATTACGTCGTTCTACATCTTACCTGTGTTTGTTGTTCAGCCCACCTGAGGTTCATGATGTGGTCCTCGTGGTTTCCTCGGTTCAGGTGCATGTAGTCCGGGTACAGCAGRACGTAGGCGAACAGGAGGACCACCACCTCCACAGACTGCTTCCCTCGGTCCACAAAGTCCCCGTTAAACACATACGGAGTCTCAGCAGAAGGTAGTCCGTTCTAAAGACCAACAGGACCCATTACTCCATATCAATGTTCATCCAACCATACATCCAACCAACCATCATTCATCCAATGATACATCCAACCATCATTCATCCAATGATACATCCAACCATCCATCATTCATCCAATGATACATCCAACCATCCATCATTCATCCAATGATACATCCAACCATCCATCATTCATCCAACAATACATCCAACCATCCAACCATCCATCATTCATCCAACAATACATCCAACCATCCATCATTCATCCAACGATACATCCAACCAACCATCATTCATCCAATGATACATCCAACCATACATCCAACCAACCATCATTCATCCAAGGATACATCCAACCAACCAACCATCATTCATCCAACGATACATCCAACCATCCATCATTCATCCAACAATACATCCAACCAGCCAACAATCATCTATCCATCGTTCATCTAACCATCCATTCATCCAACGATACATCAAACCATCCATCCATCCAATGATACATCCAACCATGATGGATGGTTGAACCATCCATTGTTCATCCAACGATACATCCAACCAGCCAACAATCATCTATTCATCGTTCATCCAACCATCTAACGTTCATACAATGATGCATCCAACCATACATCCAACCATCCAATGTTTATACGATACATCCAACCATCAAACAATACATCCAACCAGCCAACAATCATCTATCCATCGTTCATCTAACCATCCATCCAACGATACATTGAACCATCCATCATTCATCCAACAATACATCCAACCAGCCAACAATCATCTATCCATCGTTCATCCAACCATCCGTCGTTCATCCAACCATACATCATTCATCCAACAATACGTTCAACCATCCAACCATACATCCAACCATCCATCGTTCATCCAACCATCCATCCATCCATCCATCCATCCTTGATTAAACAGGCTGAGGTGAATGGCAGTTTTACCTTGTAAAAAATGAGCAGTAAGTCATCGAGTCGTCCATGCAGATCACCTACACCACAGGACAATCAGAGCAGAGAGGAGATTTCTCAGGTTTTATGCAGAAACACTAACTGGTTCCACTTCAACAGTTTCTGCTTTTTCTTTGCATCCTAAGTGTTCTTGAGTTTAATGAGCTGCCACTGAAGCAGCTGTGGAGGAGAAGTCAAGAGTCTGATCAGTGTGCAAATAAACCAGGTCCTTTAGAGGACGTCAGCTGGACCAGGTCTAAAGACCTGAGCAGGTTCTTCGGTCCTGTGGGGGCTCTCTGAGACCGACCATGACTCRGCTTTAATCCACTCACCACAGATAGTGATGTCCTTGGTGTAGGACGTGGACATGTGGACGATGTTGGGCATTTGTTTCAGCAGTTTTTTGGTTTCGTACAGCAGCTGCAGGACGTAGCGAGCGTGAAGAGTCTGAACAGAAAAAACCAAATACATCCTAAAAATTAAAAATTAAACCTGGAGATCAGAGTCTGAGAAACAAAATAAACAAAATGCTACGTTTGTTACCTGGCGCTCTTTAAAGGCAGCGAGGAGGCCGTTTGTGTCGGAGACAGAGAGGGGAAATGACASCCGGGGTCCGGTGTAGGACTCCGGGACAGAGATCAGGGTGAAGCAGGCCTCTCGGTCCAACCAGGGGTCCACCATGGGGTCCAGCAGCTGGGAGATCAGGTCTGGAGGACGAAGTGTGTGCAGATGTTTAACCACTAAATCACCTGGACCGAGGCTCCGCAGACAGCATCACCCCTGAAGCCTCGGCTAGCAGGAAGCGTTACAGCTGAAGTCTGGTGTGGTAGTAGCTGAGAGTCGTCTGTAAAAACACCCGAACGGAGGCTACTTCCTGTTCACACAGGCTGCAGCAGTCATCTCTGATTGGTTCACAAACTTTATATCTTTGTTYTTATAAAAACGTGTGCAGAGGGTCTGAGCAGCATCGGACACGTCTCCTTTAAGTCTCWTAAAAGATGAACTTCTAAATCAGGGCTATTCAATTGGCGGCCCGYGGTCCACATCCGGCCCGYGAGTGACTAAAGTTCGGCCCGCCAWTTAGTTCATTCATCTCTTCAGCTCAAACCTCCAGTTTTCTACTTTAATTACTCTATTTTAGTTAAACACAGACATGTTTGGTGTCTACAGAAACATCAGAACCTTGGCTACAAGCTGGTAAACATCTGAACAAGTCAGTTTAAAGAGAAACTAAAATTGGTTTAAAAATTTGACAAGTCAGAGATGTCAAAATAATATTTGATAAATAAGAGGCAGAATGTGTTCTTTTTAATATTGTTAAATTATCACTACTTTTATAGGGTTCTGTATTTATG